AGGCAATCCAAAATACAGGCAAAGCACAACCAAATCGAAATACAAGCCCAGACTGACCCGGCAGGAACAGAGCCAGTGCAAATTTGAAGCTTAAGAAAGGGCTCTGGATTATTTCTTGGCACCACCCTAGTCCCAGTGGCAGAATTGCCAAAATTCTTTAGAAAAGTTAATTTCCACTTAGGAAGGCTCAAAGGCTTTAAAAATCATGGGGACGCTCCCAGGCCCAGGATCACACAAGCAGAGGTGCCGTGGCTCATGGGTTTGATGCTGGCAGCTCCTGTGAGCAAGCTGGTTCCCAAACCCAATATCGTGGTGGGATCTTCTGTGATGTGGACACCTCCTGTGCGGGAGTAAATAGCACCAAAGGAACGGAGATGGTAAACACCAATTGAACATTTCCAAGAGGGATGAGGCTGTTTGTCTCTGGAGCACCTGGAGTCCCAGGCAGGTGGAGGTGTCCCCATGGGGACAGCTGGGCTTGCAGGGGCTGTGAGCTGAGGATGTTGCACAGTTCCCAGGCAGGCTTGACCACCCCCACCCCACAGGCTGGCACTCTGCCCGTGAACGCCAACCTAAATTAGGAATAATAACTAGACATTTGTTTGTAATCCTCTTTCCTGCCATGACAAATTACAGACTGATGGATCTCTTTGCTAATAGAGACAAAACACCGCAGACAGCTTTAGTGTCCCAATGCCAGCAACCGTCCTGATGAGAAACCCGCAGGGAAGCAGCCCAAATGACCCCGGCTCTTGGGCTCAGTAAACATTGCTCATTCCCTGCTCGAGCAAGAAGGAAACCAGCCCCATGCTCAGCCTTCACATGCAATCTGCACAGATTAATTTGCTGGCACTCGGCAGGGGACATCCATAGCTGCCAAGGCATCTCGGCTTTCCTCCCCGCCTTGCCCTTTCCACAGCACCGACACATCAGTCTTTGCTGCAGGAACCAGCCTGTGTCTTCCTCCACCTGTTCAGTGAAAGTTTCCTACAGGAAAGGCGTTTCTACGGCCTCTTCCATGTGCTCTCGGAGGGATTGCCTCCATGCAGGCAGCAACAGCAGCATGTTGGGATGATCTACAGTGCGGAGATGCTGGAGTCAGGTACCTGGCTGAGGGGCTGTGCTGGATTTTGGCTTTAGGAGCTGCTGCTGCCCCAGCCAACCGACCTCATCACTGGGAACCCTCCCACAGCAAAGCTGCCCCATGAACATGTGCTCATGTGCTCTGACACCTCAGCGTCCTGCCCAGAGCTACCTCCAGCCACGGGCTGAGCACATATCCCACCACAGAGAGGGGACCTCTCCTGGGGGACACCTGGCACAAGGGTCTGCCACAGCTCTAAACCCTTGGCTGGGCAAAGGGGATGCAAAGCCTGACCCAGATCTGACAGAATTTGAGTCAGTGTTTCTAAAAATGGTGGAGTTCAGCCACTGCCCCAGGGGGTTTGTGCATCCCAGCAGCTTCGGGTTATTTGTACATGGTCAGTCACCACCTGGCAAAATTATTTCTAGCTCTTTACCTTTAAAAATAGACCTCAAGCAGCTTTCTGTGTCCAGGGTGAGGTTATTAAGGCAGTCCCCTACAGTCTCCTGCACTGCCCCATTGCTATTACATGTGTGTGAACACAAGCTTTAGAGCCCATGAATAGCACAGCCTTGCTCATCCCAAGGGCTGGCAGCTCCGGGGGATGCCAGGGCTGTTCAAAAATAAGAGGAAACTCAGAACACACTTGGGCAGTGAAGGTTTCTGCCCTGAGCAAGACAGAAGCACAGGATCTTCAGATGGCTGGTGCCCCCTGGGCTTCAGGGCTCCTGAGGAACAACACTGACATTTTTCCTTCACTGGAAGAGGGACTTAGCTCCGACTGTCCATCAGGACTTGTACTCCAGCCCTGCAGCCCACCAGCAGCACAGGCGGGACCAGCAAGAACCCTGTCTCAACTTACCAAGCCAATGTCCTGCAATGAATGAGATTGACATCTCTGATCCATCCTCCATACTCTGACTACACTGCAAAATGTATGGCCATCTCCTTTAGAAAGAGTATTTCCCCCTAGGATTGCACTGCCTTGGAGTCTGCTGGGCTCATAGGATGCCAGAGCCACTTCCCATTCCCCTCAGAACTGATGTCCTCCCCAGAGTACCAGAGTTGTGTCTAAGAGCTGTTCCCTGAAATCTTTAAGCTTGCCACTTTCTTGATCTGAAAATATCTGCTCATTTCCATCATCTTTTGAACAGTGACAGCTGGAAGAAGTCTTATTTTGGTTACAAGTGTGGAGCCGGGTCCTTGTACCAGACCATCACTCACCCTGGTGTTTCCCACACAAGCTCCACTAAAGCAAGATGACGCCCCTGGGCACTATCAAGAAATGCCTCTCTAAGTCACTGCCAAGGGCTTTCTCGGGTCACCCTCACATGAACGTGACTCCTTGACTGCCGGCACCACACAGACAGCCAGGGGTTCAACAGCACACAGCAGCAGGGCAAGGAGGAGCACCCAAGCTGGTTTTTCCTCCCAAGACTGTGGTATGGCAGCACCACCATGAAGATGCTCCCAGCCTGCTTTCATTTTGCTTGCTTTTGCAATTAGGAACATGGGCAAAGAAACAACACACTGACTCTGCTGCTTGACAGGTGAACTTCAAAGGTAGGTGGCTCTGTTTATGAGACATGTTCTGGGCTTTTCTCACGATGGCTCCTCTCAGCTTGCCCGGCTCACAGGACCAATGGCCACTGCTACCAGCACAGCCCCGCAGCAGCACTGCACTTTGGGAAGTGCTCAGTGATCTGGCACGGTGCAGCTGCAGGACTGGTCCATGCAGAGATGAGACCAGCACCAGCAAGGTTTGCTGCCGGCATAGCACAGGAGAGACCTCTCCCAGCCTGACAGCACAGCTCTTCTGTCAAAGAATTGGAGAAGCAGAAGGTAAGGGAATAGGAACTGATGTTTTTTGGATTACAGCTCTCAGAGATTTCTTTCCCCATCACACAACTCACCGGCCAAAGTGCAAGATTGTTTCTGGTCTAATGGCTCCATCCAGGTGGACGTGAAGTTCGACCTGCAATAAAATAGGGATAAATCGGTGAGCTACTGTTAGAGCTACAGCAAAAGTTTAGAGATAACCAGCTAACACAGGTGTAAATGCAGGGGGAAAGTAATGACAAGGAAACATAAACCACATTTTTAAAATACCATCATTATAATGTTTATTTTTCAATATCTAAATATTGTCTAAATCTCTTCTTACTGCTGCTGCAGCTCACACATTTAATGGATCTTTAGAAATTGATTCTGTTTCCAGTAATCGTCAGGAACTGCCCTGTCCTTATTGAGTTGCCTGGTTTGGAGTTTGGGAAAAGTTAAGAAACCAAACCCCAAACACCTCTGCTTTCCAGCTTGCTCCTTCTTGAATTCACAGACATCCAAGCACCAATTCATTTGCTAAGAGTCATTATACAAGAACTTTGACTTCACTTCCAAGAATTAGCTCCTGATATATTGTTAATTACTGGGTATTATCAGAGCACAGAGGGTTTCTAACCCCACACATGGAGTCAGTTCATGGTACAAGGTGCTGCAAAAAAGAAAAGGAACAAGAGTTACCCCACAGAACTAACAAGCTGGTTTCAAAATAAAACACTTAAATTCTGTCTCATTAAAAATGGGACAGTAACTCAGATCTCTTCACTCTGAAATCCTGTTTCCCAATTATTGCCAAAATAATAGATTTTGGAGAAAGAGCCCCAGAAAAGCAAAAGCAAGCTTTTTCCATTAGGCAGCTGGGGCTTTGGAGGAACATGACAAATATAATTTGGAAGCTGAACCGGGAAGGAAAATATTAGCTGTAAAATATTTCTTCGTATTTCCAGAACTGTTTTCTTCTAAGCAACGGAATAGCCTACAAAATACATACTAATTTCATTTTTTAAATGAAACTGTAGAGCAGCAACTTAATAAACAAAGTTCTTGTTAACACTCTATAAATTTTGCTGTGCAGATGATTGCTGCAGGATGCTGAGGCTAAGAATTGAGTAGGACTCAGAAGAGGACTAGATATTTGCATGGATAACTAAACTGTCCAGGGTAACTAATTAAAATCCACAAACCCTCTGGCATCAGGGTATGTATCAACCAATAACTATGAGGAGCTGGAAGAAAAATGAGAAAGTGATCTCTACAATGAGGGCAATGCGTAGTTGTCCACCTCAAGATCCTTTTGCTCTCCTCTGAATCATCCATGAGCAGCTGATGTGAGCTCAACACCACTGGCCCAACTCCCAGCACGGGGCTGGCAATGCCCATCTCTGGGATGAGCACTGATGGCCACAGATTTGTTCCCATCCCCATCTCATCTCATCTTCTGACTCATGGCCAGGGTTTTCACTGTCCGCTTCTGCTGCAAAAGGCCATCACTGCTGGGGTGGGACAGTGCTTGGGTTCAGGCCACCTCCACAGGATGGCCATGAAGCTGCCACTGAAATGTGCACTGGTGGGATGCAAAAATGCAGGTGCCAGGCTCAGGGCAGCTTGAGCTGCTGATCCTGCACCGTTGCAATTAGCTGGCCCAGGGGTCATGAATATCTCCAGCAACAGCCCTGCTAGCAGGTTGTAAAAAGATAGCCCTGTCACTTCTCCTACCCCCAAGGCACGATCTGAATCTACCGGGATGAAGATTTTAAAAGGGCAAAACCTGATCTTTCTCCCCTCCTCAAGTTACGCAATGCTGCTTATGAGGACTAAATGTCCTGAAAAGACAGATCGGGCACGATCTGCATCACCAGATGTGGATGCCTGGCACGTTTTTCACCCTTGAGCTCCAATTCCCATTTCAAAATCATGCAAGTTCAATTTCTGGAGGTTTTCAACAGCCCTTGTGACCTTCTGATGGAGTTACAGGCTTGAAACTTGCTCATGCTGGATATAAAAACCAAACAACCCAAATCTACTGAGGTCTTCTCACTCCAAACATTTCTCAAGCATTTCATGCAAGAACATCCCAACGCGACACTTCCATCAATGCAAAAGCAAATTCAGTGGTGTTTTTCACCCATGCAAGCCACCTCCTTTTGCCACTGCTGCAGGCAAGATGCTTGTAAAGCTGCAAGGTTCAACTCTACCACCAGCAACAGCCTCTTCCTCCACTGCCATGCATTTCTTTGGGTCTGGAGGGACCTAAACTCTCGTGCAATGCTACTCAACCCAAAACTTTGTGGTGTTTCTCAAGATCAGTGCTTGGGGGAGTCGTTTTCTGCAGTTGGAAACTAATCTAGGCTATTTAGACTAACAAGGGCCATTCAAGTGAAGAAGCAAAGGTGAGGTACAAGGGTCTCCACCGAGAGCTGGCCCCAGACAAGGATGTAATCACAACCGAGCAGCTCAGTAACCCAAGGCACCTTGCTTGCAAGCTCTGCAGGTTTCCAGGTTCATGGAAGGCTGTGCACTGCAGATTACACTGCAGGTCTCCTCCCACGTGTTTGTTTTGGGTAAACAAAGCACAAGACTCCTTCAGATACAAATGGGCGACATGACCTCGCTTTAAGTCAGGGAAAGTACCCAGATAAAGATGAAAGAGTTTTCTCCAGGAGACGATACCTGAGCAAGCAGTAATAAAGCAAACGCAGGAGCCCAATGACTCTTCCAGGGCTCTGCTCCTCAGCACAAAAGGATCTCGCACACACAGTCTTCCACCCCAAACCCCTCAGTTTATTTGTAGAGAGAATCTGCACACACAGAACAAATGGGGATCTCAACATTTGATCAAGACCCCAACAGCACTACAGGCTGCACCAGCACTGGAGAGGAGCCTTCAACCATCCTTGGGACCAGTGATGCCTTCCTTTCTCACAGCAAACCTGGATGTGGTAACATTTGCTCTTATGAAGAACGAGAAAGCCGCAGAGCTTTCAAATGCCTTCCTGGGGCAACAGCTCTGCTCTTCCCCCAGCTGGTCCCTCAGGACCACCTCTGCACAGCTACCTTTCAGCCCTTCTCCTGCCCCTCCGCAGCGCTGCAGCTGAGAGTGACTCCACCGACAGCCAAGCCAGGGCATCGAAAAACCACAGTACCATTCAGTAAAATCTCTGAGTTTCACTAAAGAGTTGTCAAAAGCCAGAGGGCTGAGTTCAAAAGACGTAACTGGCCATAAATTGTGCGTCCTCAGCACAGGCAACCCCCAGCAAGGCTGTCGGAGCAAACCAAGCGCTTTCCATTTTTATGCAAAAAAAGTTTTAGCTCAACCAAGGCACGTGACTCGTTAGTGCAGATATCAGCAAGTTGGTTCAGCTTTAAAAGAATGAGAAGTTTTAAAGGCTCTGGCTTGACTTTTGTCTTCTGAAAATATTGTGATGTTTTCTTTGAAATTTAGTAAGTTTCAAAAATAAATTCAAACGCAGACTGAGGTACTTCAAACAAATATGTTCCGTTCAAAGATCAAGTCTGGTTATTTTCAATTTAGTGAAATCAAGAGGGAAAAGCTAACCAAATATTCAACGTATTTTCAGCTACAGCCAACCCACCAGAATTTCTCTATTACTCTGGTTTGCTCAGCAGACCATGGCAGAGCAGTTAACTGCTCAGTTCGCCTATTACATGGCATAAAAAGTACCATGCAAGCTATAGCACTTGAAGGAATTTCTGCATTAGGTTGTTTTAGGGTCTTTTAAAAAATACATACAATGAACAAAGTCAGCCCTAACAGTGTGGTAAAAGTAACACCAACCTCACCTTTTATTTTGATGGTTTCCAGCAGATGTTAATAGATAATCCAGGTAGCCACTGAAGTCGTGTCATTTTAAAACCCTTAAATCAGGGTTCAGACTTCAGCCAGGATTATTTATCAGCACAGTAATAGGTGGTAATTTAAAGTTCAGTCTATTGATATCAATAGCTGAAAAACAGAGTAATTACAGCTGCCATTTGTCAATTGTTAGATACACGTGGCAGGAAAACATTAGCAGAGAGCAAAATTCAACAACAGATAAGACAAATGCCAATCGCTGCAAAAAGCATGAACTGTGTTCCTCAAATTCCGGTTTTATGAAAGCATGCCGTCAGGAGCCAAATTCTCCTCATCACAAACTCTCCCCAAATGCTCATTCAGAAGCAAGAGTGGACCAAGAGGGACATGACTTGAAGAGGAACAACATTGTCTTCAAATCCAACGACCCCCACAGATGTGATTTGGAGACAAATCTGCCATAGGCTTTAAAGCTTGAGCCTTTAAAAGTGAAATGTGAGAGACTGCATGACCCACACAACACAGTGTTCCATTGCAAGGAATACTCATACTTTCTAGAGCAGCATTCACACAGTACATGGGTGTGGTGACTGAGGAGGATGCTGTTGTGCTGAGCAGCCCTCAGTACCATTCCTCCTGGCACCAAGTACTCAATATCCACCGACCTCGGTACAAGGCTCCTGGTGCTGTTAATAGGTGATGGTGGCTGTGTGTCACCCTCCCGCAGGGTGGCAGGGCCATGTGTTCCCCAAGCCATCGCAGACCTCACATCCACATGTGGCTGCAACAGGGCAACGCTTCGGAGCAATAAAGAGAGTCCTTGCACTTTGTGCAGCACCAAGCCAGCCTCTCGCTGGCAAGTGGGTTCAGGAAGGTCATCTGAGGGTGTGCCTGCACCATGCTACTGCAGGAATGAGTATGCATGTAAGGGACAGCTGAGCTCAACACAACCTCAGTGGCACCAGGCTTTGACCCTGACACTGGTCAGGGGTCAAGTTGTGCACGAGAAGTGCACAAGCTGAAGAAAACATCATCCTTTGCTCCTCACAATAAAGATCACCTTTTAAAATTATTTTTTTTATTTTTTAAGTTTTGCACACAAGGCAAATACCTGTAACTCTTAGCTTGTCACAGATGGGCAGGTCTGTCTGGAGCAGGGGAAGGCAGCAGTGTTGCAAGGAGCAGGGCAGGACACCCACCCAAACCCCCCGGGTGCAGCGAGCACCTTTGGTGCCATCTCACTTTGGTCACCAGCCACCCTCCTAACCATCGACACATGCAGCTATGGCCAGTTCTGGCCATGTCTCCCAGGGCACATCAGA